TACCAGACAGTCTGGCGTTAGGTTTCGATAACGATATTAAGTTCCAAGTACACGTATCAGTTGCAGGTACTCGGTGCTGAGTGTTCTTACCAGTAGGTGTAGATTTTTCCTACCACATACAAAACAGCCAGGAGTGTGTTTTCAACAATGTTACAGGATGACGACTGTCTAGGTATTTCCTGAAGGGTTCGCAGTTCAGGATTAGGATGAAAGGAAACGAGCAGGCAGACACGCAGTGTTGCAGAAACACAGGAATGTGGACGACCTTGGTGTCATAGTTATACGTGTTATTCCCACGCGTTCTCTCTCTCTCTCTCTCTCTCTCTCTCTCTCTCTCTCTCTCTCTCTCTCTCTCTCTTTCTCTTGCTCTCTCTGTATCGCTCCCTCTCCCTCTCTATCTCTATCTCTCTCTCTCTCTCTCTATGTGTCTATCTGTCTGTCTGTCTGTGTGTCTGTCTGTCTGTCTCTCTGTCTCTCTGTCTCTGTCTCTGTCTCTCTCTGTCTCTCTCTCTCTCTGTCTCTCTCTCTCTCTCTCTCTCTCTCTCTCTCTCTCTCTCTCTCTCTCTCTCTCTCTCTCTATCTATCTATCTATCTATCTATCGATCTATCTATCTATCTATCTCTCTATCTCTCTATCTATCTATCTATCTATCTATCTATCTATCTATCTATCTATCTATCTATCTATCTAAATATATCCATATCTCTCTCTCTCTCTCTCTCTCTCTCTCTCTTGTTAAAGGGGCCCTTCGCAAAACGTGGGTCCAAGCACCCAAACTAGTTCCATCGCCAAAGCATGTGTAGATTGAAAATTTGACGAATTCACACTCTTTGTATCAATTGAAGCAATCATTTCCAATACCACATGCTTCCTAACAACAGTAACATGCTGTTCATTCCAGCTCTGTCGTCCACTATACAAAAATCGATCCTTGCCTTGTTTGTTTTGTAAAGGGTTTTACGGCGCTTGCAACTGCATAAGGTCATATGAGCGCGCCTGTTTTTGGACATACTCTTGTGTCTAGAGGATAGTCAGGGACTGTTGTGGGAAGCGGAGAGGGGAGGAGACTGAGGGTTGTTTAGTTTTAGTAGAGGTTTTACGACGCTCGCAACTGCATAAGACTGATGGTTGAAAGTTCAATATTCTAAGAAAAAAGTGTGTGGGGTAGGGTTGGGGGTGGGGAAAGGGGGTCTGTTATTCCACAAAAAAGGAGTGTTTTTTTTTTTAGGGGGGGGGGGGGGAGGAGAGACGTTTTTACGCTACCATCGATTGGGTTTCCACCATATGGCTATCTGAAGATTTAATTAATCTGTGAACAGATAGGTATATTGTGTATGATCAGATATCACATTGTTTACTTTGTTTGAAAGAGTTAGTTGTAACGTCACAAAATAGACCGACAGACAGACAGATAGACAGACAGACAGACAGACAGACAGACAGACAGACAGGCTGACTGACAAACAGACAGACAGACAGGCAATCAGACATCTTATAAGCAACCCTAAAGCAGGAATGGTATGCTAAGACTACGAATCCACCGGGCTTTTAATCCACATAAAAACTTCTGTTGATTACAAAAATGTCCTTGATTCTTTCACTTCATAAGGAGTAGTAAAAAACAAAAAAGTCATTAAGCATGAAACACAAGAATCCCAAAGAGAATAAAAGAATAGCTGGAACATATTTCATAGCTCTACCTTATGAGTACTATTATATGTTTTTTTTCTGTTGTAGTGGGTTTTCTTCAGGATTAGTGATGTTCTTTTGTTTGTTTCAGCTGTTGCTGTTGTTGTTAATTCTGTTGTTATTGTTGTTGATGTTGCTTTTTGTTATTTTTTGACAAAGAGTGACTTTGCCGTGCAGTAATATCTCGAAGGGTTTTTTATGTGTGTATCTTTGTGGTTGTTGGCTTAAGGAAAGGAGGGGGGGGGGAGAGCAGACTGTTATCGGAAAATGTTTCTGTAATTGGTGTGTAAAGGTTGTAACGACAAGTGCGGGAAATAGGGTTTGGGGATAGGGGTGGTTGAGGCATTTAATGGTGAAAAAAAAAAAATAAAATAAATAAATCAAAGATAAAGAAAAAGAAAGGGGGGGAGGTGTGTAAGTGTAACTAAAGAATGTGAGGAAGCGAACGATATTGTTGAAGCATTTTGCATAATTCATGGACCACAGCTCGCCTCTCGGTAACCCACACTTTTGAAAGACAATATATCTCACAGTGCTCTCGGTAATTCCCACTTTGGGATGACACAGCCTAATATTTATGTCTCAGGCCTAATACTTTTTATAAGGTTACTAAATGTCCCTTCATGAGCTGAGTCTCAGGGACTAAGCAAGGGTTTTTGGCGGGATTATGCAACCAAAGAGCATGAAAGGGATACATTTGAAAATTGTTTAACCTATTCATTTAAAATCTTGCCTGTTTATAATGTAGAGGGAAATCTCGCTGAGGACCACTTTCAGTGGATATCCTTGTTTATAGATTTCGCATACTTGTTTCTATTTGGAAGTGTTTAACGTCTCTATTGACACATTTTAAATTAATTACAGGATGGCTGCTTCGACTTTGCCTGTCAAGGACAACCCGGGCTGAGTGAGATTTTCGATAAGATAATATTATCATCTTATGCCATACGTAAAGCTTTCCTGTATTGAATATATTTAACGATATGAAAGTTATGAAGTGGAATATCATAATAAATAGTTTTTTTATAAACTCTCCTTCTGATATTTCGGTCGATCTGTCTCCCCCCCCCCCCCCCCA